CACCATTAAGAATTGAACTCTAGACCTCACATTTACAAGTCTAAGTCCCAACCACTAAGCCATGAGTGTTTCTTGAAACTTTAAGGGGATAACCCCTTGTTAAATCCCTCCAAGTCCCTAAAACCCACAAAACCCCCAAATCAAAAACCCTTCTTCTTCTTCCTCCCCTTCTTCTTCCCCACTCTTTCCCTTCCCCACCTCACACACCTCGCCGCCCCACCCCAGCAGAACCGACGACCACGCACCACCGTCGCCGGCCGAACGGCACCGCTAAGCGCCACACCGCCGCGCCGCTGTCCCAGCCGACCTCCCCACCGCCCGGAGAGCACCCAGCGGCGACCCGCTGCCTCCCTACCTGAGCGACGCCGCCCGCCATCCACCCAAGCTTCGCCCGCTGCCACCAACGCCCACGCGACCGTAGGCCTCCACCGCCCCGCCGGAAAATTGCCGAGCTCCGCCCCACCATCGCCACCTTGTAGCGGCTCGAACCACCGCCGGAAAAGAGGCCGCCGGAAACTTCGCCGGAGACCCGCCGGAAAGCTGCCGGAATTTCTACCGGAATTCCTCACCGCCAAAAGAAAAATTTAAGATGCCGAAAAAGCCCCTCGGAATCCGCACCCCGGAGTGGAGCAACGCCGATTACACCGTAATCGGAGGTAAAGCACTTGAACCCGACCAATTCTCTCCGGAATTGGTTGACATGCTCAAACACCAAGGGCTTTTAGATACTTACCTCGCCATCAAAGGGGACACATACCCCGAATTGGTGAAAGAATTCTACCAACACCTTGTGGCCACCAAACGGGGTGACAAAGTAGAAATTACCACCAAGGTCCGTGGCAAGGAAATTGTGCTTTCCGAAGGCCGGTTGGCCAAGCTCTTGAAATTGACCACCACGGGTGTGTCTGACTATGACCGGAAGGGGTGGATTGATACCCAAACTACGGGATACAAGGACTACCTTGGGTACTTACTCGGGAAAGAGGACGGGTTCACCTCGGCCACTCGACCAAATCGAAAGTGGCTATCGGCGGAGCAAAAGATATTGGTTATGATTGTAACCGATAGCCTCTTGCCCACCAATAACAAGAGCAAGGATGTGGGGAGCTTGGAGTGCACCTTTGCGTATCTCCTAAAACATAAAATCAAGTTCAACCTGCCGGCACTCATGCTAAAGCACATAGAGTTCTTCAAGACAAACAACCGGCTTAGCCTACCCTACGGGATGATCCTAAGTTGGATCATGGAGAAAAAGGGGGTAGACCTAAGCCACAGCGAGGTCAAAACCGCCAACGGCATGGTTTTCAATGCCCAAAACCTCCGCCGCAACGACATCTACTACACCGAGGGAGGACACTATCTCACCCTCGAAGAAATTTGCCAAAAACCCGAGGAGGAACGTAGGGAATTAGTTGATCGATTGGACATCTCCAACAAAAAGCTCAAGCGAGCCATGCAAGATTGCGGAGGTACGGAGGGAAATGAGGGACAAGAGGAGGAAGACGGGCCTAACCCGTCAGTGCACCCACAGCCAGGAGGGAACCCGAGGGGACAAAACGAGGGTTCGGTCAACGAACGCATACTCGCTCAGCTCGACCGGCAGAATCAAATCATGGAAGAAGGGTTCTCATCCTTGATTCGCACCACACGCGCACTCGATCAAAGGGTAGCAGCGATCGAGGCCGCCTTGGGCACTCGCGGTGCATCCAGTTCCAGCGCAGGAAACCGAGGTACAACCGAAAAATTCTCTATCACAACACCATCAAAAGTTCAGCCTACCCCAAGCCGAGACAAACGTAAGGCCGCAACCCTAATCAGGAGGCCGAGCTACGAGGTGTCTAGGGGTGAAAGGATGGACTATAACACCGGGCTTCGGGGACGAAGCCCCTTGTAAGGGGGGAGAGTGTAACACCCCGTATTACGGCCCCTAAAACCATTTAATTAATTAATCAATAGCCCAAGAGAAAGAATAAATCATAATGATTAATTAGGGAAAAAGGCCCACCATAGTCCATGGGCCCTCATATATAAACCCAACCCCTAAACCCAATCCTTAGTTCCAAAAGGAATAGAATTAGCGAGCCTATAATATTAGTTCCTAATTAGGACTCCTAAATATATAAATAGGGGACTTAGGAGGCACCTAGAACTTCCCACAAAAATAACGCCCCACCACCCCAAAAGAGCTCCAAGAATCCCCTTAGGAGAAATCAAGAAAGCAAGGAAGCTTAAAGAAAGATCCTTCATAGCCAAGGAATTAATTAAGGCTAAGAGGTAACCCATGTCTCAACAAAACCTATTTTCATAGCTATGATTCCCCCTTAGGGTTTCCCCCATATTATTGTGTATTGGCGAGATATGATGATTATTATTGATGTTTGATGTGATGATCCCATGAGAGATCTTGATAATCTTAATATTGGGAGATTCTTGATGATTATGGAATTCTTGATGATTATATAGAGTTCTTGATGGTTATGTGTCGTTCTTGATAATTGTGTGATGCTCTTGATGTTTATGTGTTATTCTTACCGAATCTTGCAATTAGAAGACGAACCGTATTCTTGTTGATATAAAAGTGATTGGAACCGTAGGTTGTATCGTATAATCTTATTCTTGGATTATCGGGTGGGGAAATCGCATGTTTGGGTGTTGATTATATTTAGAAAAGCATGATAGGTTATGTGCCGTTCGTTTCTTGTATTTGATTCGTTAATTGTCTACGTGTTGTCGTTAATTGCGTTGAAAAGTGTCTAAGCATGGTTTCGGGTTCCACAACGGTTCCCGGGGCGAAAAGTGATGAAAAGAGTCAGTGGGGGGTAGGTGGGGGGGTAGGGGACCCGCTACCTACCCATGGCCGTAAAACACCGCCCGGCAGCGGGTGGCCGGCGGGCGGGCAGCTGCCCGCCGACGACCCGCTGCTCGGAACAGTAGAATCCGGCGGGCAGCCGGCGGGTGGCCCCCACCCACCGGCTACCCGCTGGAAAATTGTCCCACCAGGGACCCCGGCTTCCCCATTACCCGTGGTGTCCCAACGGACTCCGTTTATCGTGCCTATGTCTAGTTTGATGTTTCGGGTACCGTTCGTAGGTTTATGAGTCTATTATATTGCATGCTAGTGGAATTGGTATCCCGTTGACCTAGGTGGAAGAAGTATGAACCCCTTAGGACTATTCTTAGTAAGTGATGGATCACGCATAGGTTTTGTTATACGTTTTCTCCCCCTTCCTAATGTGTAATGTGGGTTGCATGTGCTTGCTATGTGTTTTGTGTGTGTTACCCCAATTCGGTTGTGATTGGATTGGTTATCCTGAGCTGCGGTTCAGAAGCTGGCTGCGGTCAGATTGATACTCTTGGGCTGCGGTCCACCGTTTGGTTGCGATCAAACGTTTCTATACGAGCTGCGGTTCGTCCTTTTTCCTGGCTGCGGTCAGATGACATTCTCTTGGGTTGCGGTCCACTGTTTGGTTGCGATCAAACACTATGATGAGCTGCGGTTCATCGGTCGGTTGCGATCGACCCCTCCGTGTTGCGATACGGGGCAGGGTGCTGCGGGGCCGTGTCAGAGCTATATGCGCTGACCTTCATGTATGGGCATGCGATTGGTCCTGTGGCGCCAACAAAGTGTGTTATGTGCTGTGACATGGACGAGTTGTGATTACGAGTTTCTTGGGGGATGTGACTATGGGATTTATATTGGGGATTGTTCATGTTGAGTTATGATCATTGTTTATGCTTTGCTTTATCTGTCTTATCTGTTGTGAACTGCATATGCTCGTTATAACTGTTGCTTGTGTCTGGCCTTACCTGTCGAGTCATTCCCGGTTTTAAAGCTAGAGTTCGTAGGATATATCTTCATGCTCAAAATGGTTTTCGTATATCTATATATATCTCTATATGTATTGTATTTCAACGCGTTGGAGTGGGTTACCAGCATCTCTCGCTGAACAGATATATTTGGCTTTCAGGCACAGAGGACTAGAGCACTGGAGCGCGCTAGAACTGGAGCGTAGAAGTAGAGTAGTTTCCCTTTCGGCCTGCGTGCCATATTATGCATTGTGTTTCAATGGATATTAGTTAGACAGCCTGTGCACCTGGGTTCTCTAGCCCAGGTGTGGCATAGCACCCCGTACACTTTTGATATACTTTGGGATGTAATGAGATATTACCTTTATTATATAAGCTTAAAATGTCTTGAAAATCTGGGGTGTTACAATAATGCTGGTAACCCACTCCAACGCGTTAAATACAATATAGGTAGATATATATATAAGGAAAACTATTTTGAAGCCAGAATACATATACACTTATGAAACTCTACTTTAAAACCGAGAATAGACTCAAGCAAGCAAGGGTAGGCACATTCATCATGCATATAAAGATACTAGCATGCACCCTAAAGTCTCAAGATTATTTCATATCAATCATAATAGTATTCAATCACTACTTCAATCACGTATACACATTTGGTGGTGCCGCAGGACCCTTCACGCGCCTATACACGAAGTGCCAGTGCATATAGCTCTGGCATGTCCCCAAAGCACCCTGCCTGTACCGCAGCACAAGGAGATTGATCGCAACCAATCAATGAACCGCAGCTCATTTATAATGTTTAATCGCAACCAACCGGTGGACCGCAGCCCGAATAGTATGTATATCTGATCGCAACCAGATTATGGACCGCAGCCCTATGTATATATATAACCGACCAATCGCAACCGGCCGGGTTAACAGCCGATAGTTCTCAACCTATCCAACTGCCTGTATAGCCAATTGATCGCAACCAATTGGGAAATCATGCACGAATAACACATAGCCATGCACATGCAACCCACATTAACAGGTACACACCCATTGAAAAGGCCATCTCCGCAGTAGATGTCACGGATGAGAATCTGAACCACTACTTCCATGCCCACCCCGTACAGGTCCTCACCAACCAGCCACTAGACACAGTACTGAGGGCCTCGGGGTCGGCAAGCAGGTTGGTCAGATGGGTCATGCGGCTGAGCCAGTTCGACATCCAATTCAAGCCTAGACCCGCTATCAAGGGGCAGGCACTGGCTGACTTTATAGTTGAGTGTACTGCCTGGGAGGCCACGGAGCGGGTCCCGAACGAAGACGAGGAGTGGTGGACCCTTTCAACGGACGGATCCTCCAGCACCAAAGGCTGCGGAGGAGAAGTCGTCCTCATAAACCAGGAAGGGTTTCAGGCCTATTACGCCATCCGCTTCGCATTCAAATTATCCAATAATGAAACCGAGTATGAGGCGCTCCTGAGAGGGCTGTGTCTCGCACTAAACATGAGGGTCGAGAAGCTCAAAATCCGATGTGACTCTAGGCTCTTGGTGGGACAGGTCATAGGTGAATTTGAAGCAAGCGATGAAAGAATGAGGAGGTACAGGGACGCAGTGCTCCAACTGTTGGGGCAGTTGATCAATTACGTGGTCCTACAGGTGCCCCCGAACCAGAACACGGATGCCAACATGTTATCCAAGCTCGCCTAAGGGGCCCCGACGTATATTTCAAAAATAGCCCAAATTGAATATTTCAAGAGGTCGAGCCTGGAAGCCTACCCGGTTCTACATGTATAGACCCGACCTCCCTGTTGGTTAGATCACCTCATGGAACACAAGAAGGCAGGTGCACTAGTTCCCGATGAGGTCGAAGCCAAACTGGTGAAGCGATGAGCCCCCACGTACGTGATCATGGGGGATCACTTTACAAGAGGTCCTACAACGACGTCTTGCTGCGCTGCCTGTACCCAGTCGAAGCCATGTCGGTCATGGAAGAATTCCATGAAGGAACCTGCTTCGCACACTAAGGAGCCTTCACCATGTCCCGGAGAGCCATCTTACAAGGGTACTTCTGGCCCAAAATGGCCAAGGAGTGTGCCGACTACGCCAGGAGCTGCGAAACATGCCTGCATTTCCAGGTCGCCCCAGCCGACCCGCCACGAGTTACACCGCCAACAGCTCGGTCATCCCCTTCTCTAGGTGGGGGGTGGACCTAGTGGGAGCTCTACACATGGGGTCGGGAAAAAAGAAGTATCTCATAGTTGCAATTAACTACTTTACCAAATGGGTGGAGGCGGAACCGCTAGCAACCATAAAAAGCGCCCGTTGCAAGCAGTTCGTATATAAAAATATTTTGTGCTGCTTTGGGGTCCCAATGCAACTCATCACTGACAACGGACACCAGTTTGAGAGGTAAGAGTTCGAGAGGTTTAGTGCTGAGTGGCATATCACCCACAGCCGTGTGGCCGTGTGCTACCCTCAAACAAATGGGCAGGTGGAGAACGCCAACCGCACAATAGTGGATGGCCTGAAGAAGAAACTAGAATCGGCGGGGGGAGCGTGGGTGGAGGAGCTTGACGCTATTATTTTGGCGTATCGCACCACCCCCCGGAGGGCCACCGGGGAGACACCTTTCTCCTTGGCCTACAGTTTAGAAGCCCTAGCTCCAGCAGAGGCAGTCATACCTTCCCGCCGGGATGAGGATTACGACGCCGACACGAACGACGAGTACCATAGAGCCGACCTCCACCTGGTCGACGACATGCGCGAAGCGGCTGCGATCTGAGCTGAAAACTACCAAAGACAAACCAACACGTACCATGATAGACGAGTCCTGATAACATTATTTAGTTTAATATTTTTAATAAACTTTGTTAGAATTAATAATTTAGTATTTAGTTAATTTTGTATTTTCTTTTATTATTAATTAGTTTTGTTAAAATAATTGTTAGACTTTTGATGTTATCACATTTGTGCTTGCTTTTATGGTTATTTTGAATCATCTCAGTAACTTAGTTCTTTAATTTTGCTTATTTAATACATGTTTTCCTTGCTATTCTCATTACAATATGGTTTTACACTCGTTTTGATTGTTTTACGGTGTTTGTTAGTGTTTTGGAACCATTGTTGGTCAAAATTACGAGCAAGGGAAGTCCTAAGACAAAATTGGAGTCAAAAGTGGATCGAAAGGCACCTACACAGTACATTTGACGCTTCGAGTTCAAAATTTCCAGAAATTTTTCTGGTCAAGACCAGCAGGACTCGACGCATCGAGCGAGCGGACGTCGAAATTAGCGGCATGAAAATTTGAGGCGCTGCATTGTTTCCAATTGAAATAGAAGGCAGCAATTCTTCAAACCAAAAAAAAATGAATGCAACAACATTCCAAATCACAAAAAGGCGTTGATTTCAATAAGTTTCCAAATTCCAAAAGAAAGAAAGATTTATTACGGCAATTTCCTAACTAATTTAGGAAAATTCCAATTTCGCCTCAGCTTTGTACCTACTATAAAATCCCACCTTCCTCAGCTCTAATGGAGACAATTTTTTTTTAGAATTTAGAATAGACAATCCATAATTTAGAATTTAGAGATCTTTGGAGACAAGAAAGAGAGAAGTCAAGAGCCACAAGTTGTCTTGGGGATCAAGAAGAAGACTAGGGAGATTTGAGAAAATCGTCAGGTTAATTCTTGTACGCTTTTGATTATTTGTAATTCTTTATTATTATTTGCTATGTATAATTTAACCATGCTTAGCTAAATTCTTTAGAGATTCTTGGGTAAAAATGTTTATGAGCCTATGTGCCTGAGCTCTCAGTTTCTTTAATATATTATTACTTGTGTTGCAATCGTGATAATATTGTTTGATGCTTGTAATTAATGGCCACAGTTACTAGTTTCGTTTGCTTTGTTTGTGTCACAAAGAGATTTGGACATAACTTTGGGCACATACAATTGCACCTAATTGTTGCACCTTGAGAAAGGGTAATTTATTAGGGGGATTTAATTCTTGATTATTGCGCATCGAGAGATGATAGTAGTTAGGAATTTATGATGCTTGATTTTGTTTTATTGGGTGTTTAGGCCACGAGAGTGGAAATTCACTAGTGTTAGTGACTACGAGAGTAGCTCAATACCACCTTGCATCCTCACACTTGTTAAACCCGGATTTTAATATTGTCCTTAAGATTTGGCACTAGGTGTGTGACACCCCGAAATCCAAATTCAATTAAGTAATTAATCCTATTTCAAATTGTAATTTAATTCCTTAAATTCCTGAAATTTAATAGTTGGGGACTAGTAATTGACTACTCAACCCCAAAGTCAAAGTTGTACCTTGAGCTTTGTAAGGAGTTCCCTTGTTCCTTACACTTCCTTATGTTAGTAAGGGTATTCTTGAACTTTCACTTGTTGTTGGCAATGCAACCTAACCTAGTAAGACCACTTTCATTCCCTCCTTACACTTTTCTAAAAATATAGCTCCACCCTCTAGCTAAAAGGTGAGTAGTTTTTCTTCTAAGCCAAGTTGGAACCTTGCCAAAACTTCAAGAGTTGCTTCCATGATTCAACCTTTCTTATATTTGGGCATCTAGGAGGGTAAGATCTAAGTTCATCTTGTGTTTTTAGTTTTATCTAAGGTGTCTTTTCTACAAGATAGGATCTTTATGATCTTTTGGTATGTTCTTGAAGTGGGTTTTGGAAGGTGAGCCTAGTGAGGAGCTTGTTGAGGTGTAAAGTGAAGTCTTTATTCTACAAGAGGTAACCCATGCTCTACAAAACCTATTTTGCTTACCTATATGTGAATATTTCTTGGATTCTACCTGTGTTTTGCTATGAAATGTGAGTGTTTATGCATTGTCTTGTCAAAATGCATATCTAGAGCTTGTGTTTTGGGTTCTTGTATGCCATTGCTTGGTATTTCCTTTGATTCAAGTCATTTTGTTCTATTTGGTGAGATTTGGCATGTTTTGGACTTAAATTTGAGTTGGAGATGAAAATTCCGCGAAGTAGGTTTTGTGGTACAGGACGTGTACCCGCGGGCGGAACGCCGGGCGGGGCATCACCCGTCGCCCCACCCGCGGGTACAAGGCTTGTGGGAATGTGTTCCCGCGGGCGGAACCACGGACGGGGCACCACCCGTGGGTCCACCCGCGTGTACACAATGTTGGGTGTTAGGGGATTTGTTCCCCGTGATTCTTTTGACTCAGTATTTGGTCTTTTGACTTCCCGATGTTCTTCTGTGGAACTATTTGAGTGTCGTCTTGATGTTTCGTATGTCTATAACTATATGGTAAGAATCCATGTAGGTTTTGGTGTGGTGAATCGTGCTAAGTGTTCAACATTGTGTTTCGTTGAACCGTGATGAGTCTTGTGTGTTCTTCGAAGCTACGTTTGGTTTACCCGTTTGATAAGCATGCTAGTTCGGTGTTTAAATTCTAGCATGTGTGTTGTTTGTACCTTCTTATTGGTTGATGATAACTTGTGTTATTCATCGTTGTTGTTGTTGGACTGTGACCCATTCCTTGATTGAGTGTGGTTTCATATCTTCATTGTGATCCGTTGATTGATTCCAGTGTGATGTGATGTGTGTGTGGCTTTACTTAGATTGCACGATTAGTGGAATGGGACACTAGTCACCAAGGTATTGCAGCGGTCCTCGTGGTGGCCGTGACATGATTATGGAGATGTGGCCTTTGTGTAAGGTTCATGTGATTCTTGGGTGGCATGTGTTGCCGTGTGTGTGTACGGTACCCTCGTGTACTATGAAATTGGTGGTCTTGTTGGTGTGGGACGACGGTCCCAGGAGGGAAAAGGTTGGACTAAGAAGTATAGGGGTCTTGGAGGTAATGGTTGGAAAGAAGATACAAGGTTGGGGGTAGCCATAAGGTTGGAACCGGGCATAAGGAAGGCATATCAACTCGTGATGGGTGATGTCACGAGGGCTTGTGTAACCGTGGTTATGACTTCTCTTTCTTGTGACGTGTGTAGTCACAAGGGCATGTGTTGCCATCAGTCTTGTCTTTATCCTTTTTGTTGTGGTATCCTTTGTGGTTTTGGGATGTGTTCCCGTATCCTTGATTGAGAGTCTTGAGTCTTGTGTTGACTATTGATCTTGGTTTTTGACTTATATACTTTTGTATTCCGTTTCGAAAATGGCTTTACAACTTATATCTTATCTTTGTATGTTATTTCACATGTATTGGTGGGTTACCAGCATTATTCGCTGACCGGGCGTCGTCCCATGTTTTATTGTGTTCTTTCAGGTGATGTCTAGGCAAGTGCGCAGTCTAGTGCCTGTTAGCATAGCTTCTCCCGTTTGTTTTATGGCCTCTGTGCCGCTCTAGTTGTAGACTTTTGAGACTTTGGATAGTTGTAAACAATGCAGATGTTGCCGTAGCGTTCATCCTTGTTGGTGAACGTGGTATAACACCCTATGACTTGGATTTATGTTTATCCAGTTATCTTTTAGTCTTCCGCTGTGTTTGTTGTTTAGTTGTGTTATATGCCTGTTTACGGTTTTTAATTAGCCTATTTTTAGGGGGTGTTACAGTTGGTATCAGAGCCTAGGTTTGAGCCTAGGAAGGGTTAAGTCTAGACTTACTAAGTGGCTAAGTGTGGTTTGAAACCTTTAATAAGCGACCTTAAGAATCTAAGGGTTAGGCTTAGGACTTTAGGACGCGCGATGAGGTTGTGAGTTCTTGTGTCGTATTCTGTTGTGTTTTCTGTGCTTTGTTTTCCTTTCAGCTTTGGTTCTCTTTAGTTGAGGCACCAGGTAAGGGTGCGGGCCCTAAGTTCCTCCCGTCATCGTGCTGCTGCTATAGAAGTAAGGATGGTATCATCGAGATGTCGTGCAAGGTCTTCAGAAGCAGTCACCAGTGAACAGTTAGCTCAAAGCCTTCATCAGCTAACGCAGATAACCCGGACGCTGAGTGACACCCTCCTCAATATCAACCACCCTCTTCAGAATGGGAATCGCGACGTAGTGCGCCAAGTTTCAAGTCTCCGTCCCCCGACCTTCGCCGGTGGAGAAGATCCAGCAGTTCTGGGCGAGTGGATCCGGATGTTCGACAAGATCTTCAAAGCTATGGTTTGCCCGGAGGATCGCCAAGTGGAGTTAGCTATGTTCTACCTTCGGCAAGAAGCGGACTCGTGGTGGATGCTTGAAAGGCCAGCCTGTAGACAAGATCCGGAGTTCAGTTGAGAAGACCTGAAGGTTAAGTTACGTGAGCGGTTCTATCCTGCGCATGCCAGGGAGGTCTACCTTTGTGCCACCGATCCCTACCGAGTTCAGCAAGTTCAGAGAGGAATTTGGGAGAACCACAAGAAGAAATTTGACGGAAGTGTTTCACCGGTGGTTAGTAGTGTGATGGCTACCGATGTCGAATCAACAAGAAGTTTCCAAAGAGATGGCTCTAAGAGAGGCAAAGCTCCCAAACCAATCTGGAACAACAAGGCTAAGGGAAGGCGCCCCATTTGCAAGAAGTATGGAAGTGACCACCCCGACGTCGACTGTCATGGGAATCCGATAGAGTGCTTTGCTTGTGGCAAGAAAGGTCACCGGTCCTTTGAGTGCAGGGCTAAGAGGATGACTTCAACGAACTCAACAACAACCTCGGCAAGGCAAGATCAATAGTTGTGAGACAGATGCAAGTGGGAACCGTGGAAGTAAGCTCTTGTGTCTTTTGTTGCACCTTCCATCGTCTTTGTGCCTTTCCTACGTGTTAGCTTCGAACGTTAGCTTGTTTGAGTGTTACCCTTGACCCTCGTTAATCTTTCCTTTCCCTTA